CCCCCACCCCCATGTTTTATTAAAATGTCCCAGTTTGGTGTATTTTTTCCCAAACTTTTTGGGAAAAAAAAAAAAAAAAAAAAAAAAAAAAAAAAAGAGAAAGTACCCAAGTTTCTACATCTTATTCTGCGAGTATGTTAGGAGCTTGTGAATAATTCACTTCAGTGCGTAGCGGAAGGGAGGGGAGAAAATGAACGAGGAGGCACTTTATAATGAACTCATCCGCAGGGCTCCAGGAGGCTGGAAGGAGGACACTGTGACTAACTGTAATTAGACATAATTATCTAAAATTAAAATGAAGATGAAAGTCTACGGAGCATGTAATTGGGGAAACAAGTGATACAACATGTTTTAAAATTGCGCAACTTCATGATCTGAAGCGCAGCGAGCAAGTCGGAACAATCGATCGTAACTGAACAGTCACAAAGGTAAACTCTTAAAGATGACTGCAGTTAAACTCACAAGATTTGGATTCTGGTGACGGTGGAGAGATGCTCGACACAGCCAGGTCACTCTTTGACTTTTTTGGTTTCTTTGGAGTAATCTGCCATGGCTTCTCAAAGTTGCTGTATTCTCTTCGAGTGTTTTTGTTTTCTGTGGGGACAGAAAGGGACAGCATGTCTTGAGAAAAATTTGGATCTGTACATATAAGCAGTGGAAAGCTTCCTGGATATTTTGGATGTAAATGTATACTGATCTGGCAAATGCCCTTTCAGATTTCCTCATGCTACATCTACACACTTCAATGTATTTTCATGAAAGTGGGAGGAAAGTGTTCAGAAAAAGAGATCAAAAATAATGTGGTGTGTGAAACTGCATTCAGGCCCTAAATAAAGTAATGTGGAAAAACTAAATCTGCGCATAAACATAAACACAACATGGTGGTGGTGGCAAGAGTCCTCATTAAGATGAAAGCGATAAATGTTTAAACCACTTTTGCTAAGATATGTCCTAAATTTAACATGATTTCAAAGAAAAATCTCAGGAAACATTTCCAAAGAAATACTTTTCATTCAGTTTTAAGAACAAAATCAACCAGAACATCTGACTTCAGCCAAAATTTCATCATCAGGAGGTTTTTAAAGTTAGTTTCTCATTAGCCCAACATTAAAATCTAACACAGGTATTTTGAGGGCTGTACAATGTTTATTAGGAGACATGTTTCTACAATTGTTAAATTCTGAAAAGTTGCACTTTTTTGTGTGTGTTGCTAACACTGGTTAGCACTGTGACTGAGCAGAGGAGCAAGCCAATCCCATTGGTTTTCCAGCATGCAGCTACATCACAATCCAGTCAGTTACTTTTCCCACACGCAAGTTCATACTTTCAAGGTAAGGTAACACAGAATAGGCAATGTGTGAGTGTCAGTGTGTGAGTGTGTGTGTTTTTACCAACCTGGGGAACTCTGTGCCCACAGAGCTGCTGATCCAGAGAAAGCTCTGTGCAGTTTGCCCGGGCTGTCTTGCTTGGTCTGCAGGTGATCAATAAGAAATGGGATTGGATGGTCTGGAGTCTCAGTTATCAGCTTGGTCATCAACTCCTACAGGAGCAGAGAGAAACATCAGACGAGAGCTGTTCATCAGACAGAAGAATGTGGCCAATGGAGAATCAACAAGTTGAGTTTGACAAACACAATCCCACATCTCTGTGGTTTATGTGTTGCCAACTTCTCTAGGAAGAGCTGCTAGAAGGGTTTATGTTTGGAGAAGTCTTACTAATTTACAGCGCTCTGTGTCAAGGTCTTTAAAATCAAAAAGTCAAGGCAAGCAATATTCCCCTTTGTGCCAATTAAATAGCAGAAAACCTGCATGCTTAGTCCTAACGGCTCACGAGTAAACAAAAAAGATTCACCATTGGGGTAATCGCTTGTTTCTCTGAGGCCATGTTTTGTTTTTCTTCACCATCTGCTACACTGATTCTGATGAAACAGTTAAGTGTTGTAAAGTCTAACATTTTTAGGGTTGGCATGATAACAATACATGGATAATATACAAATTTATAGCTGTCAGTATTTGAATAACGTCTGACCAGCTTTAACTGCTCAGAGGGTTCCCGATCCCTGGAGGTCGAAGTTTGCGTCGATAACATCTGTGTGCAAATTTGCTCAAAGAAACTATTTTTGTTTGCCGTTACTGTTTTAATTTTTCACGCTGCACCGACTTTCTGTAATCAGCACAACCGATATCACTTGCAACCACATTCACGGTGCCTTGCAAACGAATCAATGCCCTGTCATCTTCTTCATATCATTTCACGCCACTGTAACTCTTTCATGCTTTTGTTATTTGGATTAGGTGATAGACCAACATGTACTTGAATAAAGTGCAAGAAAAATACTTCATATTTTTATTTGTGGCATGCATTTGTATTCAGCTCCCCGAGTCAACACTCTGAAGGTATACTTTAGGGCTTGTTTCCAGCAGCTTTACACATCAGAAATAGCTCAAGCTCAGCCGGCTCGGATGGAGAGCTTCAGGTAAACATCAAATTTCTTGTCACATGAACTTGTGGATGTTGCTTTCAGAATAATGTGCAATTTTGCTCTCATCTAACCAGATCAACTTCCTCCCTGTGCTTAATATGTACAGTACATGGCTTGCTGCAAACGTTAAACAATGATACTTTTGGCTTCATGTCAACATTATTCTTTTTTTTTTTGCAGCTCCTCTGTAAAAAGGAATGATTTCTCAAGTGCGTGACTGACAGTACAAAACGTTCTCCCACAATCGCTGTGCCTCTCTGCTCGCCAAAAGCTTGGAATATTGTTTTATAGTCGAACCCTGCTTTCAGTGTCTCCACAATGTTATCCCTGGCTTGTCTGCTGCGTTCCTCGGTCTCTGTGATGTTGCTCGCTCACAAATGTTATGGAAAATCGCAGAAGACCTTTCCAAATCAGCTGTATTTACTCTGAGGTTGTACGATGTGCAGGTAGACTATTTGCTACTTCTGTAAACAGCAAAGGGTTACACTGGACTTTATGGGTATCGTATTCTTAAAAAAAAAAAAAAAGAAAAAAAAAGAAAAAAGGGCAGCATGCCACTTTTCTGATTTTTGCCAAGAAAATTGAAAACGTATTCATTGCTTCCACTTGAGATTCCTTTAATAAGTTGTGTCGGCCTTTAACATAAAATCTCTACAAACTACACTGAACTGTAAAGTTGCAACACGTCAAAATGTGTTAAAGCTGTTAGGTTTTTAATATTCAGGCTGTAATGTTAAAGTTAACAGACATGCTCATTAAAATTAATAATTATGACTAATAAGTAAAAGCTGCCACATGGAAGAACATTTTCAGAGTGCAGAAAAAAAATGAATTCACACAGGGAGTCCCAGCGACAGGTGCTGGGGGAGGAGACCCCCCTCTCTCTCTGCAAGCTAATTAGAGGCTGATCAAAGTCACGATGGGAGCTCGTCACCAAATGAGCAATCATGTCCTAACTAATCACACCCAATGTCTGCACTACACCTCCTCATAGGCAGATTAACCTAGTCAATGCCAAGAACACTTCATAATACACAAGATATTATGCGAGTACAATAAAGAGACTGGTCAGAAATTTGCAGCCATTTTATGAACTCTGGTTTTTGTAAAGATGACCATCGGATATGGACCGGCTCTGACTTTACTAATTATAATGCAAGATAAGTGAAACCTTCAAAAGGACCATTTCTGTCCTTCCTGCCATTAGTGCTAATTACTTGTGACAGCAAAGGCGACACCATGCTGTTGCATGGAAGACACTTTCAAGTTTCACCATTTCAAAACAAAAATGTTTAATAAAAAGTTTGCATTTTAAAGCATGTTCAATATGCACTGTGCTAGCATTTAGCGACATCAGAGTTACTAGCGACGAACTCAGCGTTTGTGTATTCCTTAGAGAATGAACACTCTTACTTCTTAGAGTTAAAGTATCATAAATCAATAATATTTTCAAATCTCAAAATAAAAACAGACTTTACTCCAATCTGCCTCCATGGCAGCTGAGTAAGAGTCTGGCTTTCACTCACTCTTTGCCTCAATGACAAACATATCTCTTACAACTCTGTGCTTACTTTGGCAACACCAGCACAGATTGTGAAAACAGCCAACAGTGTTCTTCCCTCAACAACAGAATCCGCACCGAAGAGTGCCGTCATGACAGCAAACTTGAGAGTGATGAAGCATGAAGCGCGTCCACTGACTGGAAAACGATCTGTAGTTCCCCCCCCCTCCCCCCGCCCCAGACTTGATAAAGACAAACTCTTTTCCAGCAACTGTATAAGCAAAATTGTGCATTGTTAGGATATGAGAATGAACTCTGACCGTTTTGTCAGAGCAGCTGAGCAGAGCTTCTGCATTGAAGCAAAGAACCCATTAGTGGGCTGCAGTGAATTGGCAGTCCAATATGGCTTCAACAGCATGCGTGTGTGTGTGTGTGTGTGTGTGTGTGTGTGCGTGCATGTAAGAACCTCTGAGCACATGCTATATAGTAAACCATATCAAGTAGCTCTCTTAAGAGGCTGCATGCGTTTGCCCTTGCAGACATGTTTCCACATTTATATGTGTGTTTGTGTGTTTTAGGGGGTGGGAAGGGACAAAGCTGTATTGTAGCAAGCCTTGGCTGTGCTTTCGTGTGCTCAGAAAGCTAATCAAGTAATTGTTCAGGGGGACATTCCTGACCAAGCCCAACAGCTGTGACAGCAAACAGCATGTGAATGGACAAACGGGGGACGGAGCTGGCATGTTTCCCTCCAAGCTGCAGGTGCAGCTGTTTGAACAGAGGACACACACTCGCATTCCAGCAGAAGGTAAAGTCATGTGCATGCTCATCAGAGAGAAAAGGTAACATTCACAGTAAAAGTTTACGTTTAAAGGATAGATTATCTTTCTTCAAAAGATTATTTTTGTATTTTCCAATTGGTGCGCAAATGCATACAGGTATAATTGGAGTGCATGATGCACGGTGGATAGCAAAACAGATGGGCATATCCCAGGGATTGTCAGAAAATGGCAGCTCTTCTGGATATATCTGTAGCCTGCTGGTAAAACATCCTCATGCATGGGGCTTGTTGGGTGGTGTCTCAAGCTGATGGCTAACTTGGGGGATACAATTTATCTTTAGCGTTTAATACTGTGAGGCTGTCTCCAAGCCAACAAATTAAGATGATGGTCTAACAATGAATAGTTTAATGTAACTACAGGAGTGCCTATCCTGAAAATTACCTGCTGATTCAACTTTTCATTTGTTACAAATGTCAGGCGTGTATTCCATGCAGAGCACAACTAAACACAAAAAAGTAGAATCTAAAGTAAATGTGCCCGAGTCCAGTCCTTGAGAGCTATCCTTCTGCAGATTTTAGAAGCATGCCTTCCCCAACACACCTCAATCAAATGGCTGAATTCCCTCAGAATTTTCTCTTTTTTTTTCCTGTCAAGTTTATTTTTATACCATGACTGACATATTTGATTAGAGGCCACTTAAGAAATTGAATAATATCGCAGAAACAAACTTTGACCTATAGAATCCTTAGAACTAGTGCAATTATGTATTTTTTAGATCAAGTGGTAGTTCTTGTAGAAAAGGAGACACTCAACTTGTTGCCCCCAACCTCTACTATTGAAGATTGTCAAAACACAATTTCTTGAAACTTCCCGGTTAGCAGTCGCTAAAGGTAGCGTTCATAAATAGGGACACTTCATCTTAGCAGGGTCAGCAAAACGGATTTAATATTCTGGAGAATGAAACGTATCTATAGAGACAAGCAACGATTTTCTTCTGAAATTGAAAAAAAAAAAGAAAAAAGACTGCAACAGAGACAAGGAACAGCAGCACTAATTGGTCCAGTGGTATCTAGTCTTCCCCTTTCTGCACACATTTACCGAACAGACAGGCAACACAATCTCACCCTATTGCTTTCTAAAGTAATTATGCGTTTCATATAACATGACTCTTGTTTATTATAGACACATTTGGCTAAGATTTCCACATGAAGCCAGAGTTTAATCTTATATACTATGAAATTTGATATTTTCAGCAGAACAATCATGTGTTTCAATGGGCAAAGAGGATCGTCTCAGACTCTCACTATGCACCAGGGGCCTTTGAGAAAGCTAAAGGTGACATTAGCAAGCCAGAAATGCAGTCCATATCTGGTACAGATCTGATGCCGGAGCAGATATCCGCATGCCTAAGGAAGTTTCGCTGGGTCCCAGTAATTGACAATCTGTCAGCTAGCCAAGAAACAAACTGTGTCCTTGGAAGCTATCAAGGACTTCCTCCGAGAACAGTGACAGTCATGATACTCTCACTGATACTGCCCGCTGCCCTGCAGTTTAAACAAAGACAAGGAAAGTGGAAGCAAGTTGAAAAGGAGTAGGGAGCAAACGGGGAAAGGCAGACTGAAGGACAGAAGACTGGTACCACAAAAATAAATCAAGAAAATCTCTACTTTAACCGTTATGAGACGTGCTAGACAAAACATCTGTTTAAATATTAATAGGGTTACATGTTACATCGATAAGTTATTGAGATTTTGAATTTTTGAGTAAAATTGGGACTT